TTCATTTCCTTTGGATATATTCCCAGAAGTGGAATTGCTGGATCATAGGGCAGATTTATTTTTAATTTTTTTGAGGATTCTCTATACTGTTTTCCATAGTGGCTATAGCAGTTTACAGTCCCACCAATAGTACACAAGGGTTTCCTTTTCTCCACATCTTTCTGGCATTTGTTATCTCTTTGATGATGGCCATTTTTTGATGATGGCCATTCTAACAGGCTTGGGGTGATACCTCATTGTAGTTTTGATAGGCATTTCTCTAACGTTTAGTGATGTTGAGCATCCTTTCATGTGTCTATTGGCCATCTATGTTGTGAAATGTCTATTAAGCTCCTTTGCCCATCTTTTTAAAAATTGAAGTATGATTAACATACAGTGTTATTAGTGCCAGGTGTACAATATGATTCAGAAATTCTATACATTATTCAGTGCTCATCAAGATAAGTGTACTCTTGATCTTCTTGATATCACCCTTCCTCATATGTCCCTCCCCTCTGGCAACCACCAGTTATTCTCTATTTAAGAGTCTGGGTTTTTTGGTTTCTTTTTATTTCTTTGTTGTTTCTTAAATTGTACATATGAATGAAATCATGAAATATTTGCCTTTCTCTGATTGACGTATTTCACTTAGCATTATACTCTCTAGGTCCATCCATGGTGTTGCAAATGACAAGATTTCATTCTTGTTTATGGCTGAATAATATTCCATAGTATACATATATCACATCTTTATCATTCATCTATTGATAGATGTTTGGCTTGTATCTGTATCTTGGTTACTGTAAATAATGCTGTAGTAAACAATAGGGATACATATATCTTTTTGCCCATTCTTTAATTGGATTATTTGCTGTTGAGTTGTATGAGTTCTTTATATATTTTGGATGCTAACTCCTTATCTAGATACATGGTTTCCAAATAATTCTTCCCATCCTGTTGGTTGTCTTTCACATTGTTGATTTGTTCTTTCTGTGCAGAAGCTTTTTAGTTTGATGTAGTCTCATTTATTTTTTATTTTATTGCTTGTGCTTTAGGTTTTAGATCCAGGAATTGTCACCATTGAATTTCCTTTGCCTATCCATAAATTTGCTTGTTGTCTGCAAGTAGAATTTCTGGAGCACAAGCACAAGGCATTAGGCTTGAATATGTTGAGCTTAGGAATTTTGTCTAGTTCATAGCTGTTGCCCCAGAACCTACAAAATGTGTTTAATAAATACTTGGTGATGGGATGAGGCTAAATTACAAATCCCATCTGTGTAGGTGTTGGGTGGGGGGGAGGGCTAATGAACTCCTTTGGTTTAACTAAGCAGCCAGATAAATGGAGAACTCATTCCCAACAACTCATTTTGTTGTAGCCTTGCAAAATACATCAGAGTCTGCTATGGAACTCCTAAGGGATAATGTCAAGACCCTGAGGCATTTGCTCTTAGTTACTAGGATCACTCCCATCCTGCTGTTCTGTTAAGTCCCTGCAACTTGGGTCTAATAAAGGACTGAAAAGTTTTCAGCTGCCTCATTTTTCCCTGACCTCGTGGGTAGGGGTTCTGCAGATGTTGTTTCCTTTGGAAGATATCTTGCCAAGAATAGCATTCCTCAGGGGGAGGGGGTTCAAGTTGGACTATGGCTGGAATGTTGCTTTACTTGGTTTTTTTGAATGTATTGCTAGCAAGACTGCTGTGGCTGGGAAAGGCTGTTGGAGTTCACTTCTCTCATGGGGAGAGTGCTGGTTACCAAAATGTGTGCTGCTCCCGTGATGCAGTCTCTTGAGCTTCTCATCAGTGGGAAGCCAGAGATGCTGGGAGCATTCTTCAGATGAGCTCAACCTGGCTTTCACTTTTTAAAAAAAATTCCTAAATTCTGTTTCTATTCCAAGTAGCAATGTCATGTGTTTGCCTGAGTCATCCACTTGCTCCTTTGCATATGGAATATTGTGTGTGAATATTTTGTTTATTATACCTTTAAAATACATTCAAGGGCTATATCAAGAACTCAGAAGAACCGTCTCTGCTGCTGAAATCAAACCTTATCCAAAAAAAAATAACTGTGGGGGCCAGATGGCTTACTCTTGGGTATGTGGTTGGGAGTCAGTGAACATCTGTTGGCAGTGGCTTATTTACATTTCGGGACCTGATAGCCCAATGTGTGGGCTTATATGAAGTTGAGTGAACTGACATCCACAGATACATACTACAGAGCAGTCAGAAGAGTCCCCTTCAGCAGCTGTGCCAGCATAGCCAACTGTGTCTGTACAAAGTTAAAACGAACATCAGAAGACATAACCAAAAAAAAGATAAAACCAACTCACTTGAAGATGCTGCTATAAATTCATTTATTCCACCAGTATTTACCAAGCACCTACTATGTGCCACCTCTTTACAGGTCTGCTCTGCACCCAGAAGTTGGAGAAGAGGTTTTATAAACCAGTCAGTTTGAGTCTGCCAAACAGCCTTGTGACAAGTTTCTGAAGAGCCTCTGTCTCTGTCTCTTGTCTCCTCAGATAAAACAGCCATAGCCTTGTGACTTCTAGAAAAAGTCAGAAGATCCCAACTCTGAAAAAGGAGGAGGTGGAGGGTGGGCAGCCAAACGTGGGTACAGAAACAGAAGGAAACCTGTATTAGGATCATCTGAGTTTGTCAGAATAGGTCACTGGATTTTACCCCCAGATTACTTAAATTTGTTTTAATGTTTATTTTTGAGAGAAAGACAGTGTGAGTGGGGGAAAGAGAGAGAGGGTGACCCAGAATCTGAAGCAGGCTCCAGGCTCTGAGCTGTCGGCACAGAGCCTGACGTGGGGCTTGAACTCATGAACCTCATAATCTCTGCTGGTATCTGGGCATCTGTACACAATCTGGTGGTCATCAGACATGGTAATTGTTAGGTTGGATGGGGAATGAGGAAAGATTGTTTCTTGTTCAAAATGAAACCAAATAAATGAATAGCCTTTGGAACAAAAGGCTGGGAGACTCAACTGGAAGTAGCTTGAGGCTCTTGTCAGCACCACCCGACCCCACCTTCACCCCCCAAATCAAGAATCTGTTAATACCCAGTGGGTTTTGTCATAATCCCAGAGGCAGGTCCATCTCTGTCTTTCCACTAACTGCCTTCTAGAGCCTGGCCCTCATATTTTCAGTTTACAACCCTAGAACTTGTTCCCCTCTCTGACAGCAAAGAAGATCTCAGGGAATGGGAGTTGCTTTGAATTAGCTAATTTGGGGAGAGTTTTCACACTTTTAATTTAATAATGTGATCTAGAGAAGCGTCAGCATTTATTGTGGGTTATCAGGCCCTAGTGCTATTAAACACAAGGCAGGCTGGGGAACCTCTTGCCTTTAAGAAGCTGATGCTGCAGCTAGAGAAAGGCTGCTTCACCATGGAAAACAGAATCAAGATCCTGCCTGCCAAATCCCAAGTAGGAGTCAGGAGTAAAGACCAGAGAAAGTCCTGAACACAGTCCTGGGTTCACCAGTCTGAAAGCATGGTCTCAGTTTCCTGTCTAAAGTATAATAAAACCAACCATCAGGGGTCATGGGAAAACCAAAGTGCTTTTGCTGAGCTTCCAGGGGATCTGAGGAGGTATGGCCACTGAACTTGGGTCTGGAAGCCCGGGAAGCCTAGAGCCACCTCTATCTTGAACTGCAGTCCTATGTGCAATGCTTTTCAAAGGAAGTGGTACCATTCCAAGCCAAGGAATCTTGGAGGGAGCGTAGTGGAGTTAATTCAGGCTTTGCTGAGGCTTCAGGGAGCTCTCATGGCTGTTTCTCCATCATCTCCACTCTGTCCTGCCCTCCCAGTAGGCCACCTGACTGGTATGAATCAACTTAGCAGAGCTCTGCCAAGGCCTTGTAGTGGGTGTGGTCAGAGTAGCCATAGCCTTGGGGATGAAGGTAGGGAATTAGCCAAGTGCATTCCAGTATGGGCCTTGTCCTGCTGGAAGTTCAGGACCAAAGGAATCCAGTTTTGTCAACCCAATTGAGAAATCATTTCTTGAACAACTAACTTGTGCCAGGCATTGACATTCACAATAAGACATACTAACATCTTTTGGGGTAGCATTTCTCAAATGAGGTGCTGTGGAATCCTAGATTTTAATAAGGGGCCCTTTAATAAAATTCTGTGCTCACGTTCAGAGAAACTGCAAATCATTGTCTTGGATAGTTTGATGCTTTGAACACAGTCCTGTCTCCTCTCCCCTGATGCCTGCTTGTAATGTCCACAGGTGGAGGAGCTAAAGGATCCTTTGGGGGTGTTGCCCCACCCCTAACTACTCCAAATACTATCTAAATCAGGGAGCTGGCTGTGAAAACTAGGTGGAGATGGAGCTGCCCTGCTGGTGCCCACAGAACTCTGCTGGGCAGAGCCATTCTCAGCATTCAGTCTAACCCAGGTAAAGTGTTTGTGCCTTTGTTGGAGATGGGACTGAGCAAAGGGCCTCACTTCTGCGTCCTCAGGAACTCCCTGTACTGTGTGTCCTACCACAAATCATACCAGAACAGTTGTGTCAGGAAGCCTTGGCTGTGTGATCTTAGGTTAGATACTTTATCTCTCTGGGCTCATGTCTCCCATCTGTAGACTAGGTAATTGATTAGTCCTCAACACTGGTGATGCTTATCAAAGGCCTTTTCTCCCATCTGTTAGTGCTTCTGCCTACACGTGCCCTCCAATCACTACCCATTCACCCTATTAAGTTTTGTAAATAGAATTTTTTTATCAGAGTAAATGTGTTCTGGAGAAGAGCTGGGGTAGGCCCAACCTGCCTGGGAGCCAAAACTTGATTGTGGGGACTTCTGCCATTAATTTGCCAGGCGCCCTCAGTCAGGAAACAGTTCCTGACTGTTCCTCTGGGTTTATAGCCCCCTCCTGTCTGCACTCCCAAGGCAGGCTGGGGACACGTGGCCATGCCCCGCCCTTGCTGGCTTCAGTTTCTCAATTGGGAGCCGGGGAACTGCAGTGGCCTGCTTTCCCCGCCCTTCCCATTAGTTGGGAAACCTGATTGTGGGCTGGGGGAAGCAGCACCCTCTCATCTGGCACCCGCTGCGTCCTGCTCCTAGGCACCTGCTCCTACGCTGGAGTCCCTTAACATCAGCAAAGCCCTAGAAGACCGCATCCTCGTGGGTGAAGAGGTAAGAAGGCATTCATTTTTTTCTCACATTTTCTTTTCCTGACTTCACCTCAACTTTGCTGCTTTCACAGATCACAGCAAGAGGTATTTGAGCAAGACTTGAAAAAGTCCTGGGCATAAAGCTGTGAACTGTGTCTCAAACTGTTAATTCTCTGCTCTGTGTTTCTTTAGACTTGCTGGAAAAAAGATCCAAATAACCAAAAGCAAGCTACTTTTCCCTGTTTGCTTCTGAGTTTTGTAAGTCAGCAGAGCCACATTTTTAAATGGTTGTTGTGGGTTACTGGGGCCTGCTCCAATGCATATTGCTTTAGGTCTTTAGATTTTTATGTAGTATGCATGAATTATGTGTGTGGATTACCTTATCAAAAATTAATTGATTTAAAGTTCTTTGAAAGAAAGGAGGGAAATGGCATGTGTGAGCCTTCCTCATTTGGATGGTATTCTGAAATGAAAATGAGTTCTACTTTTACATTTTGCATTTATTTCAAGTGCACAAAAACCAACTAACTGCTTGTCATTTTAAAGGTTTATGTGGTATCTGTCATATTAACAAACCCATCCCAGCATGTGCAGCCTTTGCCTCTTATTTGTAAAGCTGGGTTGCTTCCAGGTGTTTTGCAATTAGTAATTTGATTTCTATGGACAGTCCTGTGAAAATAACCTTTTCTAGTTTTTTAGATATTTTTCTCTCCTCTTCTTGGAGTTTGTTCTCCATCAAAAAATGAATACTTGGGGCAATGGGCAATAACATTTTTGTAGCTCAGTTCATGTTACACATGCAGGTCAACTCATGCAAGAATTATGTGACTAATTCCTAATTTCCAGAACCAAGATGGTCTGAGGGGGTGGGTGAGAAACTTGTTTTCTCTGAGGAATTTTCAGGAAGGAGGCAGTCTGCATAGTGGTTAAGACTTGACCTTTGAAGGCAGGCAAGCCTGGGTGTGTATGTATAGCTGCCTGACCTTGAACTCTCACCTAATAATTGTGCCTCAATTAGTTCACTTGCAAAATAGAGATTATATAACTTCTTGGTGATACAGGATTTGTACACAATGTCTGGCACTTATTAAGTACCCCCTTGGAAGCTTTTAAAGCCTGGAACTTTCCCTGGGTCATACCAGTTGGGCAGAATTGAGAAAGTCATTTCAAGGGCATCTTCTTGACTCCCTGATTCTTACCCAGCCCCACTATAACTGGAGTGAAAGTCTTCTCCCCTGCTACAGGACTTTTTTTTTTTTTTTTTTTTTTTTTTTTTTTTTTTTNTTTTTGGCTTAGGCCCCTGTCTGTACTAAGACTGGAGGGCTGGGTGTCAGAGGACAGCAGGTCAGGTGAACCTCTTTCTGAAGGATCCCCAGACTCTTGGTCTCCTCCTGCCACCTGATCGAGATGTCACCCTTCCATCTCCCAGCCGCCTTTATCAAAGCACAGGTTTACAGGATCCCTGGACAGAGCAGAGAATTCCCCTGAAGTCTAAGGGTACTCTTTCTGTTCCTCAGTCTAATAGGTTATGGGGAGGCCACCTATGAGGCTCAGTGGAATAAGCACAGGGTGGTCAGGCTGGGTTCCAGTCATGGTTGTGGACAGTCATTGGACTTCTCTGAGCTTCAGTGTCTTCATCTGTAAAATCGAAATGTTAATGCCTTTGCCATGGAATTACATGAGATAACATAGGTAAAGTGTTCGTCACATAGCAATCTGTTACTATGGAAGATCAAAGCCATGCTCCAGAGCTTTTGGGAAGATACCAGAATTAGCCATAAAAGATGGGTAGAAGACTCTTGTGCTCATTTTCTTGGTCAGCAGTTTTTTGGTTTTTTTTTGTTTTTTTCCTTTTTATTGGGCTAGCTGGCCATGGTGCTGGAAACTGGGGCAAGATGCATAAGTTTCATGCTCTTGACAAAGGCACACAGCCCATCTCATGGGAGCAGAGGATACTGTGACCAAGGCAGCCTGGGTGCTCCAGGACAGCTCCCTGCTTAAGTAGGAAGAATAGTCTATTAGGCAGAAATGGGAGAAAGCTGAATTTGGGGGGGTGGGGGAGGGAGTTCAGGAGGCTGCAGAACTGGGAGAATGGGATAGGAGGTGAGAAGAGTCCGTGGGAACTAAATTTTGAAGGTCAAGTGAGAATATGGTCTTTATCTTATGGATGTGGAGATTTAAGCAGGGTTGGGGATGCCTGTTCTGGCAGCTTTAGGGGATGGTGTTGGAGGCCTGAAATGGACCCAGCCTTCCTTCCCATCTCAGAGGCTTAATGGTACCCCAAATAAATAAATGCACAGAGTGGAATTCTTAGGATCGACTCAGTGTGGGGGAGCCTGGCCTGAAAGTTGGGGAGCTGGGTTCTGGGGTTCTTATCCCAGAGTGGGTGGATCTCCTCTTCTGCCTCAGTTGAGGGCTCAGGGCAGTTAGGCTTCCTATAGCTCTTTCGTTCTGGGGGTCTGCAAAATGCCTTTGGAAGCTGAAGTTACCTGTCTTCCCGTTCCCCGCACCCCTCCCGGGCAGTACTGTCTGGTGGCTGTCCCTGTCCCAGCCTTGGTAAAGGCATTTTGTTTGAAATGGGTAATACGGCTCTTTTAATCCAGGAGACTCCTCGGAAGTCTGAGAACTGTGGCCTCCGGGCCTGCAACAATCCCAGGGGAGTTCTGGGCTCTGGCTGTCTTACACACTTATGTATGAGGGCAGTGTCCCATGATTAGGAGATGGTGTCCTCTGGGAACTGAGCTGCATTTAGCCTGGGAACTTATGTCCTGAGCTTCTCAGGACATAGGAGAGTCTCAGGACATGTTAGGAGAGTTTTATCTGTGCATCCTGGCCAGGAGGGGCCAATGGCCGCACCTGAAGAACTTCCAATTTTTCCACATCCTCACCAACATGTTTTTTTCTGCATTGATACTTACCATCTTAATGGGCGTGGGGTGATATTTCATTGTGGTTTTGATATGTATTTCCCTGGTGATTAGTGATGCTGAGTATCTTTTCATATACCTGCTGCTCATTTGTATATCTTCTTTGGAGAAATATTTGTTGATACCCTTTGTCCATTTTTTTTTTCCCAGTCAGGTTATTTGATTTTTTGTTGAATTGGAGTTTTTATATATTTTGGATATTAATTCTTTATTACATTTGTATATATTTTCTTTCATTCTCTAGGTTGTCTTTTCACTGTTGATCATGTCCTTTGCACAGAAGTTTTCAATTTTGATATAGTCCCATTTACCTATTTTTGCTTTTGCTGCCTGAGCTTTTGGTCCCATATCTAAGAAATAATTGCTAAGTCCAGTGTCACAAAGCTTTTTACCTGTATTTTCTTCTATGAGTTTTATAGTTTTGGATCTTTATCTTTACAAGCATTTTAATGGCTTTATTGTTTTCATAACATGTTTATTAGGAAAAATACTAATAATTCAAAAAAGCACAGGAAGAAAAGAAAATCCCAATCCCAACTCCCCCCCACATAACCATTCCCTAATATTTTACTGGGCAACTCTACAGACAGTGCCTTTATTGCTTTCCAACTTTACCTTGCACATAAACCACCTGGGGATTATGTTAGATTCTGATTCCTGAAAGCCCGAGGTGGGCCCAAGGTTCTATATTTCTAACAAGCTTTTGGGTAATGCTGTTGCTACTGATCAGGAAACCATACCTGGAGCATCTTTAGTGTGTATACACACACACAACTCTATGTCCTATGGGATCACCTACACATGACTTTCTCATAACCTGTGTTTTTCCCGCCACTCCACCTTCATTGCTGTGGAAATGCTGATAAATCCAGAGCTCCATTATAATTTATAGTTGCCCTATATATTCTTCCATTTTGTGGTAGGATGCTAATTCAACTAGTCCCTATGGATAAAATTCAGGGTGCTATGAAATTATCATTGTTAAAAACAATGTAGTAGCAAACATCTTTGTGACCGTGACCATGTCTCGGTTTATCTGAAGAAATTATAGTTACTTTGTTTTTTGTTTTATATAAATAATCTCTACACCCAGAGTGGGCTCCAACTCACAACCTCAAGATCAAGAGTTGCATGCTCTTCTGACTGAGCCAGCCAGGTGTCCCTTATTTATTTGTTTTTCTGAGTAGCAGAGCAGAACTAATGCATTCAAATGTGCTGCTCCTTAAAGGAGTCATGTGGGAGGCTGGATTCTTAAGCTGAAGGCTCTGCCAGTCCCCCATTGGTGGAGGGCAGAGCAGTGTAGGAGAGGGGCGGGATAGGTGTAGCATAGAGGTGGGACAGGCAGGGGCATGAGAGGAGGCACCAGTCTTCAGCCTGGAATTGTGTATCTAGCAATCATTTAGTACCCACAGCTCCCTGCAAGCTTTGACTTAGTCTTCCCAACTAAGAAACTCAGGCATAAGGGAATACTTGCTTGCCCATGGTCACATAGGTGGGATGTGGCAGCACCGCCCGGGATGCACCAGACTCTGTGTCTGAATGCTAGTTGCTTGGGTGACTTCTCAGGCCCATCCTGGCCTGTACTGGCAGCCCTACCCCGCCCTTCTAGCCACTGTGGTCCCAGTCCCACTGCATTGGAGAATATTAAGAGAGCTGCCTGGGCTCCTTTCCAGGCCCATAACCCCTCTCTTCCTGCACTCCCATCCTGTGAAGTGGGCCCTGAACCTCACTCTGCTGCAGCCAGATCAGCTTGAGAGGGAGCCCCCCTGAAGAGACCTCTTTGCCAAAAGCTCTGTGGGCCGTGCAGGGTAGGCAGGATAAGGCCTTTGTTAGACGCTAATTTCAGAGTCTCCTGGGCCTGGGAGATCAAGGGGGCTGGGGTGGTGGGCCTGGGGGTGTATTCCAGATCACTGTCTCCTCCCTAGCCAGGCCCTGAACAGAACTCTGTGAGGACATTGGAGGCCCCAGGGTGGTCACTGACCAGTGGTACAGTAAGGATTTACCAGGATGGGGACTATTGAGAGTATCATACAGTTGCAGACAGCCCTGAACTTGAATCCCAGCTCTGCCATGTGCTGTCTGTGGGACCTTGGGC